TACTGCAGCTTGGTGGGGTGGCTGGTGGGAGAGGTTGGTTCGTACAGTAAAAGAATTGTTAAAACGTACTTTAGGTAAAACAGTGTTATCATCTGAAGAACTTTGTACTATTATTTGTGATTGTGAAACTATAATTAATTCTAGACCCTTAACTTATGTTTCTGAAGATCCGCAAGAATTAGTACCTCTGACACCCGCCATGTTTCTTATCGAGAACAGAAATTCCAATGTTGAAGATCTTGATGAATTAAATTCGTCAAGTCTTAATAAGAGATTAAAGTATAGAACTAAATTGTTAAATGATCTGAGACAACGATTTAGAAAAGAATACCTTAGTCAACTGGTTCAAAAGCATAATGAAAAGCGATCTCGGGAACCTGTTGTAGGAGAAATAGTACTGATGGGGGATGATAACAGAAAACGTTTATTTTGGCCTTTAGCCCGAATTACAGAATTGATCCCTGGACGTGATGGAAAGATTCGTACGGTTAAACTTAAGACCCGGCATGGAATAGTTATACGACCAATACAACGCATCTATCCTCCTCTGGAGATACAGTCCAATGATAGAAACATAATTCCTGATAAGAAACTGGGTGCAGAGGAATCTAATTCTAGTGCTGGGTGTACGTTAAAAAAGAGTATTGCACCTGATAAAATGGTGATGCAACAATATTCCTCCTCTGGACGACTTGTAAAAGTTCCAAAAAGACTTGATCTTTTAAATAATGTTTGTTATGAGTTTGAGACTCAACCTGAGTCTCAAGGGGGGGGAGGATGTTGTGAAATGAACTGAAGTAATAACCGGCGCGAGGCGCTGCTGCTTGTGACGTCAGCCTGCGTGCTGAGTTTTTTCGAATGTTTTACGTGTGGACGAACGAAAGCTGAGCTCGGAAGAGTGATACTGTTTTGATGGAAATAAAGAATGATTTATTAAGAATTTTTTTGTCTTTATTCATAATGCACCCAGCCTCGGGTAGAGGCAGGCCCGCAACTGAACGAACTGTTTTAAATATATTTGATTTATATATTTTCTGTGTTCTTCGTAACACACATGGTAAAACTATCAAACACTTTCGCCCCCCCCACATGGTGGAACGCTTAGCCGAAAGGAATTTTGGGGTGCAGTACAACTGCTGAGCGGCAATAAATTTAGCCAGGATTTTTAGTGGCAAATCTTCTTACCCTATTGTGAAACTTCTTAATACCAGTGCAAGTGGAAAATTTGCTACCATTTACCCGCAAAATTTCGAATGAACAAATACGTCTGTTAAGTGTTTGAATGTATAATGTGGAGATAATTTAAAGTTGTTCATTGTTTTCTGAAATGTTTCAGTAACTGAGGGTTGTAATTCCTTTATGGTTATGTCTTATGTTCAAAATAGTTTAATAGTCTGCTTTAGACTCCTAAATATGGAGGAACTAACCAACCAATCAGAACTCCAGAACCATTAGCTTAGTAGTATCATAAAAGTAGCCATATTTTCATGATATTACGGTATTGACTTTCATATTTCAGTATATTTTGATATGAATACTGGCTTAACGCTGCCAGTAAGCTAACTCTTCTATTCTCTCATCTGTAATGCCTCCATTCTGTGGTTTCAAAGGGATGCAGTGTTTTTGGTATCAGCTTCCCGTTTTCCCCTACGAACTTAATTTTGTTACCTCAGCGAGATAAATGAACTGTCATTAAGAAATTAGTATGCCCTTTGTAATAGCTTTTGCTATCTAACCAGACTAGTAATCTCTTAGCGTGTCTAAATACGTTAACCAGAAGTACTACAACGTGCTAATAGTACAACAACGAGAGCTTTAGTCCCAGTTAAAACGATGCATACAAATTTTCGTGCCTTTCCTTATGTCCATCCTTAATGAGCATAGTCATTAAGGACATGCATGATGATCAAGAATTAACTCTTTTACTCAACCTTTTAATTTCAAATGCCAGAGGCAAACATTAGGGATTATTTTGCGTTTCTTTCGTTAAACTTTTTCATCTAAATTAAACACATTTTGTTATATTTCGGGTTATTCTAGTTGGTGGCCGGGCACTTACCCACTAAGTAGTTTTTGAGAATGTTTGGCAATCCTATCAATCAGCAATAATCTCCTTACCAAGCAAGATCCTAGAAATACGACAAAGGGTAGATCTTGCGAAGGAAGCATAACCGCTGAACACTTAAAGAATCTGGAGAACATGCTTTCGACTGGTAATCAATCTTCGTTATCATAATTAAGATTGCAATATGCTTTTATAAACAGTTTGACAAAAATTGCAGCAATTTAAATAGTGAATCATTTAGAAAATTACAGATGAAAACTCAACATTTTCTCACCTTCAAGTGACTAATTTATTTGGCATTTCATTTTACATATTAGTCATGTTTCATCTCCAGTACCGCAAATTTGAAGCAATTCACAATCAACTCGGAAAATTTACTTCAGTATTCCCCGGCATCCCCCGATATATCGTTAGATATATATCGGCCCTTTTTGGCAATGAAATACAGTCTGCAGATAAATAGAGCAGGGATTTTTTATTTCCAGTTATTTTCGACTGTATGCAAAACTGAATTAAACTGCTGTTCTTCGCTGCTTTTTCTGCTTCCGCGTGAACTCTGGTTAATAAGAATGCAAGTGACTTCTCTGAAAACAATTTTTGGTTCTTATTTTAGCATTCACATATTTGCATACCACGTCATCCGTTGTTAACATATTTCCATCGTACATTATTTTCCGCCATGTGTAATTTGGCTCGGGAAAACCGGAGAACTCGCGGTTTTTTACTGCATGGATTTCTTCATTTTTCGTCAACTCTACTAAGTGTATAGTGCAAATTTCACTAAAAATTAAAACTGTTATCGCGAGAACCTTCCTTTATAAATATTACAAAGTTTCTTAATACGGATTCTACTTCAAACCAGTTGGGTTAAGTGAAATTAAAGATATTCTTACCTTTGGCTTACCACCTTAAACCAAATTCAGCTTTTCGAGTTCCCGAACGCTCGTGGGAAAGAAATCGTGAGTGTATTTTTAGAATTCTATTAACGGATGCCTTTTAATGCCCAGATGCTTGAAAAGATTAAGGACAAGTTTTAAAATGTTTAGTTAGGCAATAAAGTCTGCGTACATCAAGAAAAGTAATATCAAACCCAAATTTTAAGGTGCGAAAAGGGTAGTTTCTTAGTTTTATTTTTTAAATACTTAGTTTCAATAACGGACTTTGAAATTATTTAACTGTAATATTTTCATATCTAATAATTTATGCACACTAATTTTTAAAAGATAAGTGACCAGAAATCAAAGCCAATAAAGTTTGCGTACAACGCGAAGGAGGCAGTGGATTTCTTATTTAACTTTTAAACTTCAAACTTGAGAATGCAAAGAAGGTTACACTTTCAAGGTCATTGACTTCCGAAGCAAATTTCACGTTGATTGGAAGTTGCTATTTCTATTTTCTGTGACGAAAATGACAACCAATAAAGAAATTCCTTTAGTTACGAGACAACTAATTATAAAATTGAGAGATGAAGGTAAAACTCTTCGTTATATTGGTAAAACCATTGGAAAACCATTTTCTAGTGTGTAAAGAGTTATTCAAAACTATCTTGATACTGGTAGTCTTGCTGTGAAACCAAGATGTGGGAGACCGAAAAAGCTAACGCAGAGAGAAGAAAGAAAAATTATTTTAAGAATTGAACAAAATCCTAAACTTTCTGCTACAAGCATTGCAAAAGACATTTTTTTAACTAGCAACAAGGAAATTTTTCCTGAAACTGTACGAAAAGTGCTGCGAAAGTCCGATTATCATGAACGCAAACCTAGGTCTAAGCCATACATTTCCGAGACAAATAGAAAGAAAAGAATTGATTTTGCCAAAACATATTTAAACTCTTCGCAGGACTTCTGGAACAATGTAATTTGGTCAGATGAAAGTAAATTTACAATATTTAAAGTTAATGGCCACCCTATTGTATGGAAAAAACCAGGAACAGAACTGAATCTGAGAAATTTAAATCCAACTGTCAAACATGGAGTTGGCGGTGTGATGGTATGGGGGTGTATGTCGTCGAAAGGAGTTGGAAATTTTCACATTATTGATAAAGTCATGGATAAGTATGTTTATCTGGATATTCTGAAGAAAAATCTACGAGACAGTGCACGAAATTTAAACCTTTCTAATACCTTTATTTTCCAACAAGACAACGACTCGAAATATACAGCTAAAATTGTGAAGGAATATCTCTATCACACTCCAAGACAGTTGTGTACTCCTCCACAGTCACCAGACCTCAATTCAATCGAACATTTGTGGGCAAAATTGGAGAAACGAATTCGAAAATACAATATTACTTCTCGAAATAAGCTAATTAGTAAATTGCAGGAAGAATGGGCGTAATTTACGTCGGATGACACTGAAAAACTAGTTCAGTCAATGCCCAGACGTCTGCAAGCTGTTTGAAGGATAAAGGACATCCTACAAAGTATTGAAGTAATGTAAGAAACTTATATTTTGCTTTTTTTAAAGTGTACGCAGACTTATTGGAGGGAATTTCTGAGTTTTTTTGACAAAATATATTTTTGGAAAAATGTAAAGTATTACACTGATATTATTTACTTTTTATTTAAGCTTACAATTTTAGCTAATAGAAGAAAAAAATGCAATGATTAAAATACATTTTTCTATGCTTTAACTGTTTTTAATATAAAATTTAGTCTGTACGCAGACTTTTGTGACTATTTTACGCGCATAGATGAAAAGGATATTAGTTTCACTTTAACGCCTGTCTCAAATGCTTCTTTTCTCTTGCATTCCTGAAATTTAAGAAAAATTTGGGGATTATCTTAACTCATTAGATGAAGGATATGTATCGTTAACCAATATAGCGAAGAAAAGCATTAAACTTTATTCTCATAACTATTGTTCATTTCGACTGATTGTATATAATAAAATCTTAGTAAACTGAATTTTTTAATTTTGAAAACTTTCTTTTCAGATTTTATTATTGTGGACTTAACAATGCCTCACAAGTTGTGCCTTTTCTTGTTAAGTATCATCCCCGGTTGCAGTAAATGGAGCCTAATAAGAGATTGTACACGCGTCTTCATATTCTATGTATCATTGATAACCCTAATTGTATTCACTACCACGCTCCTATGTGTTGATTCAGAGCTTTGGAAAGTAGTATCTATTACGAATGTGTGCTTCTTTTCATTGGTGCTTCTCGCCCTGCTTTCAGAGGGATTGAGGCTCTATATTAGTGATAGGAAAAAGAAATCAAAGAACCGAAAATTAGTAACTGATGCTACGAAACGGGGATTGATAAGCAGAAGTGGCTTGGAATCAGTTGTTGATTATTCGAACTTGGATGATAGGAAAAAGAAATCAAAGAACCTGGAATTGGTAACTGATACTACGAAACAGGGATTGATAAGAAGAAACAGCTTGGAGTCAATTATTGATTATTCAAACTTGAATGAACTTGAAGAACCCTCATGTAGTACTAGTTCTCCAGTTCCAAACATAGATTTAAATACTGTCTATGAAAATTGGCCATATTACTTTCTAGCTAAAAAAATGGTAACAAAATATGGTGTATTAAAAGGAGTTTGGAAAGACGGGGCATTTAAAGGGAAACTGAAAAAGAAGCCAAAGAAACGACGTGTCTGCGCCGAGTATGTTAAAACACCTGATAAACATTTAAAGACTAAAACTGATTCGTCTCTTCCTTATATGTATGAGGCACCGGAATATAAAGGCGAAAGCACTGAAAGTGCTATTGAAATAGATGATTATTCCTCAGAAGCCATATGCATAGAATTATCCAGTGACAGTGGCTCAGATATGGACAAAAATGAATCGGTTCAGCCTGAAGGAGACATTTTCTTCGAAGATTTCGTAGAAGATGACAAATACAAAGGAGATAAAGGTAAAATGTCTACTTCTTCCAAGTTCTTATATAAGAAACGTGCTCACGCCGATACTGGTCCTTCAAGCAGGGACCAAGATGCTGATGCCGGTGCTTCAGGTGAAAACTGTACTGAAGTAAAGCCAGGTGCTGATCCTAGAAAAGAAAGTAATCCAAGTGAAGATGATTTAGATACCAGCTCTGTGAAGCAACAAAATCCTGAAAAGCTTTAAACAAGAATTTTAATGCATCCTAAAATATTGCAATACTGTGGTGATTTAAAATACAGATACCGAAGCAAAATCTTTAAATCGAAGAATATTTCTTAAATTTCTTCTGGATATAAACTTTTTTATATGATTTAGAAGGTTACGATTTTAACGTCTTTATCTCTTAAAGCAAAATGATTTTTGAATCTTTATCAAAGATATTTTAACGTCTTTATCTCTTAAAGCAAATTTTTTCAATCTTTATCAACGTTATTTTAAAGTGTTTTATACGTAATTGTATTTCGTAAGGTCTTGCATAATGTATTGTTTGAAGCATAACAATAAACTATATAATTTGATAATTTGCGTTAATACTCCTTTCTAGATTCTTTGAATCGCAATACTTTGGACTAAAAACTTAAATATTTGTTATTAAATACGTACTATTTGAAATCCAAACAAATAAGGCAGTACTATAGGAACTGTAGTTTCAACTTCATGTCTATGTGCCTATTAAAGGACACATCTTCATGTCCATTAAGAATCTTATCACAATAACTTTAATATATATGCCTTGAATTAAATACTTTTTTGATCTTGTATAAAGATAAGAAATGTGTATATTCATTAGTTTCCTAGATAAATATTTTTTAATATTTACTTGAAATATGTTTATAAAGAATACTGAAAGTTTTACAGAAATTAATCCATTCTGAGAAATTAAGATAATTCATTATTTAGAACTCTCTAATATTCAACGACATATTTTGAATTGCAAATTTTAAACTTAACTGTTCAGTTTGCTTTGCCGTCGTGTGTAGCTTGCAAAAGTGCAAGCTGTATACTGGCTATCTTCAGTTGGTTGCTTCATGTAGCGATACAGGGACAGAAATGCTGAAGTGAGTTCTGGCGACAAGATAGGAGTTGGAGAGGGGTGTAAGGAAGTGCAGCAAAGTCCATTTGGTTTGCATAAAATGAGTGATAAGGATGAAGTCAAAATCATGTTATATATACACAGATTGGACAGAAAAGATGTAGAAGCATATTTAAACATTATGTAGGAAAATTTTGGTTATCGCAAGGCATGAAAGCCGTAAATGGACGCAGATGGCTGTCCTCTTGAAGAATCTCGTAGCTGAAAATTTCAAAGTGGTTTATTATATTACATTCTTCTCCTTCCTGATAGGAGCGTTCATTGAGTTTTCTGAGAAACTTCGCCAATGGTTCGATCTTAAAGTGGTCGTGAAAACATTTGTTTGATTTAGAAATGGGCATTTGTAGTGATGCGAAGTTATCTGCTTTGCACCATTTGAAGCTTTTTAAGATTCTTATTGGAGACAGTTGTCCACGCCGGCGAAGCGTAAGTCAATACTGGTCTGATAACGGAGAGGTAAATAAGTTCCTTCAGCTCTAGTGAAGAATATTTCCCAATAATTGGGTATAAGCATTTGATGATTTTAAGGGCCCTGTCAAGCACATTATTAACATGACGTGTCCAAGTAAGGCGGTCATTAAATAAAACACCAAGATAAAACTTAACTGAGAGGGCTGATGGTTTTAGAATTGTAAACGTATTTGATGCCATATTATCTCGATCGGCCCAGTAGTGATAGCATTTGTGTCCAGGAAATTTAATATCAGTTATCTGGTTGGATTTCATGCGAGATGGGATTAGGATTATTCAGTTATGGCAAAGCACACGAAGGCTATCTGCCTAAAGGGAGGGATGCCTTCGTGGAGGACTTTCTAAAGAAAACTGGCTCATATACATGTTACACGTGGGGAAAACCACGAAAACGCCCATCCAGCCAGCCCGTTTGCGGGATTCGAACCTTGGACCGAACTACCAGTGTTCAGCGCCTTCACCGCTCGGCCGCTGGTGGGCCTCATGTGAGATGATGGCACTTGGCTGCTTTGGAACTTTGCGGTTATACTGGCTTTCAGCAGAAAATTAAAGTCCTGCTCTTGCCAGTTCATGATGTGATCCCATGTGGGGCCTGACAGAGTAGAAACCTGAAAGAAATTTTCTCTCGTGGAGGTAGAAGTGTGATACTTGGCTGCATCGCATTTCACTGATTTTTATGCTGATATCTGAATTGTATATAGTACAAACAAGGGCGGGGTATTCAAATCTTTTAATACTGAATTCCATAAATGCTGAGAGAATCGAATCTTGCATTTATCTCATCGGAAGCTTTTGCCATAAGTTGAAAATTTTTAGATTTTAAGAAAGTTCGACATTACACTTAACATTTTAGGAGCATTCAGTTTATTGATGTGCAATAGAAGCGAGTGTCCATCAAAAGATTTCAGTGGCACCGAACCACTACTATCGCATCGTGGCGTCTTTGAGTGATCTTTACGTTCCAGATAGAAATTAGCATTTCGTGTTTAGTTTCATCTATGTTAGCTCTCTGAATAATCCTCTTCTGTTTACACGACTTTGATTTAAATATTTTTGAAAACATCAAACATAATAACCGTTATTCCAATATTTTAAAATTAAATCGAAAAGGAAACTCCAGACTGAAATTATCTACTTTATTTTCTAAATTTTATTATTTTCTTAAACACCAGTGCTCTTACAAAATCGCACCGTTACGTTTTTTGGATTCGTCTTATCTGAAGTGAAAACTCTGTGTGCGTACGAGTGGGGAGATTTCCTCTTAAACTCTTAACATACTCAGAAACTTGTGTCGTGTAAAACGATATCCTTTCGATGCCTTTCCATAATTAGCTTACCAAATTCGTTTTATTTCAAATTTTACAAATACATATTTCAATTTTTGTCGTCCTTTTACAGTCCTTTTACAGACTTTCAGGAGCTGCAATTAAATGAAACATTTGACGAGCATTAATTATGTACGGGAACACTGGATTGTTGTTCAACTGGAAGTAATAACTACTACGTCCAAAGTTTTTATTTAATTCTTAATTTCGCATTTTTCTTTACTGTTTCTAAATAAAGTTTACCATAAACTGATTATTTGAATTTAAAACTTTGGAAAACAAGTAGTCATGAATATGCAAATATTCATTTTTGTTTTAATTGTTAGTATATATCAGACGCTCAAAATCTTTCACTATTTGCCTGCTTAAAGTAAATGACTCTAAACTAGTTTGCATATGAGAAAAGTAAAACATTTCTAAGCAATCTTGAAACGTGCCCCTAAATAAAGTCAATTCTTTTCCTGCTTTTAAATTTTCTCAGCTATGTAGATTTGCAACCAGCTCCTCAGAGCAACAAATCTTCATGGAATGCTGTAGATAAGCTTTATCTGCTTAGACGTAGATTTTTATTGCAATTATTTCTTTGTTCTCTTGGACTTTTTTTTTTTTCGTGGTAAGGGTGACAACCCAGCGAAAAATATTTTATGCTTAGGCAAGCAAGCAAAAATTTCTGGACACGAAAGAAGCTTGTATTTGTTTTTGTTTCACCATTTGTAGGGTATTTTACAAAATTGTATCACAATATATGACTTCAGCGCAAAACAACTGAATTACCAATGTCCGAAAAATATAAAAAAGCCCGCATTACATATTTTACTTACATATATCCATTTTAGTTATTTCGGACATGTGCATACAAATATTTATTTACTTAAAATGCTAATTGTGTATATGCTTAGACTGGAAAAATCTTTTCACGATTTTAGCATATTTTGCTAGAATAACTCTGAACAAATAGTAATCTGACAAATGTTCCATTTTCCTTTTCTAAAAACATTCTTCCAAGAAGTTTGTTTTAAATCTATTATTCATCGTCCTGCTGTAACTGCTTTCAGCTGCTTCTGATGGCTAAGAAACACGGGTTAAATTATGAAACATTTACTACAGGTCTTTCCGTTTCAAATATTCATAACAATCCGTCAACTGTTTACTTTATCAGTGTTGCTATAATCCTCGTTAGAGGTCGGTCTATATCCAGTTCTGAATAGCTATCATCTAAGGTTTCAACATAGCTAAACATTTCAGTGAGAGGCTTAAGAAGTTTGTTCGTTCAGAAATTTGATTAAAAATACTACATAGATCCAGTATTCTACCTTAAAGTGCCTAATGTTTCCTTTTAGAACTTCACTCTCATTTACGTTTATTTCAAGAGGCTTGGTGCTATTTCCAACATATAAAGTTTTTATAAAATATTTCATTCCATCTTTTCTACTGAAAAAGATGTACTCATTACCTTAGTAATCCAAATTTAGATTTATTTGTGATAGAGTAACTAATAGCGCATATGTCGATTTAAATCGAAGATTTTGTTTAGCACTTTAAAAGATCTGCTTTGTTCAATACCAAATTCTGCACTTAAGGATAGGTATACTACCAATAGCAGCCACTGATACTTCTGTTTGAGGTTCGAATCCCGCGAACGAACTGGTTGCATGAGTGTTTCCGTAGTTCCCCCCCATTTGTAACGCGTATACGAGCCAGTTTCCTTAGCAAGTCATCCACGAAGGCATCCCTCTCCTTAAGCAAGTATCCCTCGAGGACTTTGCTATCATCACATAAACGAAAACCAACCAACAGTACCCACACTTACGATCATTTCCACGTTCAAAATGATGTACATTTAAAATTAAAACTTGCAAGAGTGTTAAAGAATCAGTATGGCAGCGCAAAGGATGCTACCCTTCGCCCCGAGTTCAAAAAACTTTAAAAGGGTCTACTATAGTTTTTCCCCTCACTTTCGCTATCTCGTCACTTTTTATATTGCCGCTGTTATGCGTAATGTCGTTACAATGCACCAGTGTTTCTACTGGATTTCCTTGAACATGAATTGATACGTTATAACAAAATCTGAAATGTAATACCATATGACTTCTGTGTACGAAATATTAAATTATACGCATTTTTGCTGCATTTCATTTAAACTTATTTCCTCGGATTTTATTAGAGATATATTTCTCATTTAATTCCATTATCCGCTCGCGAGAAGGCAAAAATACATAAAACCTCAAAATATCTTCGTTAAAAATTGAAAAATTTATAAAAAAAATCACCAAATACAGTTAAAACAAAAACAAAAAAAAAAAAAAAAATTCTGCGCAAAAAAAAGCCATTCATTAGCACAACAGTCTTTAGAGAGTCATGTCCTGCATTGCCCTACGTTTTTGGCCGTGGGCCCCGAACTTATGAACATATGCCCTGAACAGGGGGTCAGCTTGTCGCAGGGCCCCTGGTGTTTAGTGCCCAAGTGAACTTAGTACTCATCTTATCGACCCACTCAAGGAATGAAAGGCTGAGTCAACTTCTCCCCGCCCGGGGATCGAACCCCGAACCTGTTGTGCGCGACGCGCTAGCTTCTGCGCCATCGGGTCTTCATCTCATAAAGTTACATAAAATGTATTT